GAATATGCATGCCATCTATCGCCCCTCCACAGTTAGGGAAGCCCATTTGTGCAAAGCCATCCACAACGTCATGCACGTTGCCCAGAGTCACGGTCTTTTGGAGCAGAATGCGATTAATGGCCCTGCACACTTCCGTCAACGGTCCAACAGTCAATTTTCCCACTCCAAACTGGTTAGTGACCGATTGGTAGTCGTCTGGAGTAGCCAGCTTCCATAGTACAATCACCAAACACGTCTCCAACTGCAGGGCAGCTCTCATTCTCGTGTCCTTGTGCCACAGGGCTGGGGCAAGCTCATTACAGAATCCCATGAATGTGGCTTTCCTCATGCGAAAGTTCTGTAGCCACTGCTCATCATCCCAGACGTGCATGACAATGTGATCCCACCACTCACTGCTTGTTTCCTGAGCCCAAAAGCAGCATTCCACTGTGGTCAGCATCTCTGTGCATGTCACAAGCAATCTCGTGTCGTACCTAGTACGCATGGTGAGATCAATGTCGCACTCCTCTTTCCTTTGTAGTTTAAGAAATAACTCCACCGTCACTATTGACATGTTACTCAGAGTGAGCAGCACACTGGTCAACAGTTCGGGATCCATTCCTGCAGACCAAAGAGGCAGAGTGCGCAGTACACAAACCGTTGAAAGATGGCGCCAAATGAGGACGGAAGCACAGGGATTGCTGGGATGCGAAGCAATGCATCATGGGGCATTGGGACAGGACCCAGGATGCCCGTGACCCTCTCTGCCTTCCCACAACTCTTAGCGGCAGAAGAGGATGAGATGCTCTGTGGGATAGCTGCCCAGAGTGCACCACTCCGAATACCGCTGCAAATGCCACAAGTGTGAACACGCTATTGCGCGGGTAGCTGACAGTGTGAACACAACAGTGGTTTCCCTTCAGCGCTCTCTGAGCAGCGCTGTAACTCCTGGTGCTGTAACTGTGCCAGTGTAGACATACCCTCATGCTAGAGTCAGGGCTCTGGGGCCCTCCCGCACTTATAGAGTCCCAGAGCTCAGGCTCCCCGACTGACCCCGGCCAGCCACAGGTGTTTAATTGTTGTGTAAACATACCCTGTATGTTATAAAACAGGTTCCTTGTTTTATCCTCTTTGTATGTAGAGAGCACTAAGTGCAGTTCTCATTCCTTTAATTTGCTACAATAATACTTCTTGAAGAACTAAGCCTTTTCTAATATTTACATATTGGCCTCATACTGCTTAAAGTAACCAGAAGAGCTAACTCTGTGTCCCCTGATTGCTTTCTGAACCTCCAGTGATAGTTTTGTTGCCAATCTCGAAATGGAAATCAGTTTTGCCTAAGAAAGAATAAAGGGAATGGGCTGGCCCATGAAAGCATATGGGTGCGTGTTAAACTCCATTGATCTTGAGACTGGCAAAGTCTTACTGCAGCTCTTGACATGCTTATGTTTTGTCTCCTCTCCATCCCTTAAATAGGGGCACGCGCTCACGTGAAGAATCCCTTCAAAGTATTTTCTAATGTACCATGGAGGCCTGTTCTTTGCATATTATTATTTTCTCTCTCTCCCTCTTTTTCTCTAGAAGGAAAATACTTCAACTTCTGTCCAAATAGACAGGGTCTTGGACACAGAGGACCTGATTCTCAGTCAAATCAAGCTCACTTAACAAAACTCTGGTAGTGTAAAGTCACCATAAAGCAGGAGTAAAGTATAGTTATACCCACTGTAAGGCCTTTTTACAATGCCATATCAGTGTAAAGAGGATGTAGCATAAATGAGAATTTGGCCCAAACATCATAACACCATACAGGTTTGGGGATAGGATTTCAGGAACCTGCACTGAGGGTGTACAGCCTTTGTATACAATGAAGTCCAATTCCATGGGATGAGATGCACATCTCTGGGCAGTGGCTCTTCAGAGTAAAAGACAGCGTCACTGCTACACTGATCCATCTGCCATTGCACCCCTTGAAACAGGGTTGCAAGGATGACAGGCCACTCCAGCCCTGTGGCTCATCCTAATCCTTCATTTAACCTGACAGTTTTTGATTCATACATTTACTTTTGCTTTCCATTTTTTCTGGTTGAATGCCCAAAATTCCTGCCATGGTGGCAGTTACAAAATCTATTGTTTTGCTGGGCATCTTTGCCACTTTCATATTTGCTTTTCTCGGCCTCATTGCCCAAGCATAGCTGTATGCTCAGTTTCCCACTTTTCACTTCCTTTTCCATACCTGAGCTGAGCAGGTAGGAAATGGTATAATCATGTCAAACTCCATTCACAATCCAAGAACAGCTGCATAAGTGTCAGCACCAACTGCAAAGCACTTCAGTTGTCAATTAGGATCCTTCTTTTACAAAGCACTTTGAGATCCATGTATGGAAACCTCTAGATAAGAGCTAAGTATTAGTATTATTAAATCGGATTGTCTGAATATGCTTGTACAGCTAGTTAAGTGTGTGATGCTTGGTTCAAGGAACTTACAAGCTCCCCTGATAAAAACTGTAATGTTTACAAGCTCTAGCAAGCTAAGTAGCACCATTGCAAGGAGTCTACAAGCTTCACAAGACCAATAGCTTCAGGTTTTGTTTAGCTTTCCCCACCTACCTTAAACAAAAACTCTAAGAAATATAGTTCATTGCATTATGCCCATGTAATATCATAGTTGCACAGTAAGATAAGAACATAAGAACAGCCACACTGGGTCAGACCAATGGTCCATCTAGCCCAGTATCTGGTCTTCCGATAGTGGCCAATGCCAGGTGCTTCAGTGGGAATGAGCAGAACAGGTAATTATCAAGTGAATCATCCCCTGTCCTCCACTCCCATTTTCTGGCAGACAGAGGCTAGGGACACTAAGAACACAGTGTTGCATCCCTGTCCAGCGTGGATAATACCCATTGATGGACCTATCCTCCATTAACATATCTAGTTCTTTTTTGAACTCTGTTAGAGTCTTGGCCTTCACAACATCCTCTGGCAAAGAGTTCCACAGGTTGACTGTGCACTGTGTGCAGAAATACTTCCTTTTGTTTGTTTTAAACCTGCTGCCTATTAATTTCATTGGGTGACCCCTAATTCTTGTGTTGAGAAGGCGTAAATAACACTTCCTTATTCACTTTTTCCACACCAGTCTAGATTTTATAGGCCTCTACCATATCCCCTGTTAGTCACCTCTTTTCCAAGCTGAAAAATCAGTCCTTTAAATTTCTCTTCAGATGGAAGCTGTTCGATACCCCTAATCATTTTTGTTGCCCTTCGCTGTACCTTTTCCAATTCCAATATATCTTTTTTGAGATGGGGCTACCAGATCTGCACACAGTATGCAAAAGGTGGGCATACCATGGATTTATAGAGAAGCATGATTATATTTTCTGTCTTGTTATCTATTCCCTTTCCCTTCCTAATAGTTCCTTATGTTCTGTTCACTTTTTTGGCTGCCGCTGCACACGGAGCAGATGTTTTCAGAGAACTATCCGCAATGACTCCATTATCTCTTTCTGGAGTGGTAACATCTAATTTAGATGCCATCATTTTGCATGGACAGTTGAGAATGTTTCCCAGTGCTAGATCTGTACAAGTTCAGGCTTGAACAGTATTGTAAGAACAATGTTGCATGCTCTACCTCGGAGTTCCTGCAGCCCAGCACAAGGGATTTGCTCCTGTTACACGGAGAATCTGTTCAAGGATCTACCATATTGACTGGTATAAACCGTCATTTCCTGTGTTCAAAATTTTTAAAGTCAATACATAGAAAATTTAAATAGTCAGGTAACAACTAGTGAGTTTGGGGGAAAATGAGTTTAAATGGAGTCAAATATAATATTTCACTTCTAAATGTTGAAATATAACACGCATTGCACATCCAGTAGTCAATATGTTTCCTAACAGTTAACTGTCAGGCACAAGACTGCAGTGCTGCAGTGTCTAAACCGGTGTTTAAAAATCATTGCATGGAACCAGAGATAGAAATGCTGGACCTAGGCAGTGGTCCCAGGAACTTCAGGCATGTATTCTTAAAAAAAGAGAGTCAGAGAGATACATAGACATGCAATGCTCTCACTGCACTTGATCGTCCAGGCCTGCTACAACGTCAAGTTGTCAGATTCTCATATTGTTGTGATGTCTGTGGAAATATCCCATAAAAGGATGTGTCATGATTTAAAAAGCCAAGAAATCAGAAATCAAAAGTTATGTTTAAGTAGTAAGGTCTTGATTTAACGGGTTTTTAAAAAGTAAATTGAAAATGAGAGTGAAGGCTACCACTCCATCCTTCATTCTGAAAGCATTAACGCATACTTGCATTTCAGTACTCTCATGCGTCTAAACAGACAGAGTAGTTGTCATGCAGGAGCAGAAAAGTGAGCCTGATCCTTTTCACTATGTGCAGATTTTAGCAGGTCCATTCAGGAAGCAGGAACAGATGACCTCTCCCCCGCCACGCTCTCCTCTGGATTACTTGGGATTCTTGTTGCCAAATCTGCAACTCTAAATCTGCATACCCCATTCGTTACCTAAATACCTCCATACAAGTAACCTCTCCCTGCTAAGTCCATGTACGATACCTCTGTCACTGGAGTCTAGTGTCTTGGGCTCAGGTTGCCAATTCTCTGTTTTATCGTAAGTCACGTGATAGCTGCAGTTTTTCTTAACTCTCCAGCTCCTTGAAACGTGATTGTGAGAATCTGAGCTTTCGCTGAAACAGATGTTCCTCTCTGTCATAGTTGCAGAGAAAAAGCTTTAAAATGTAACCCAAGTGCAATAAGGAGGATCAGGCCCATAGTTTTTAAGGTGCTTGGAGATCCTTTCATCTCCAAGGTCTTCTACTTCTATAAATGTCTAAATAACACTAGTCGGCTAATAGTTCTGCTTATCATTGTAAAGCTAAGAATCTGTTTGCACATACGTAGCAACACAAGTTAAGTTTTTACTTTTGTTGTCTTGGCTATTTGTGCTCTGCTAAGATCCAGAATTTAGGAGAGAGTTGCTTTTGAAGCAGTAAGAAAAACAAATTACTGTACCTTGCTGTTTAATGTCCAACAACTGCTGCCGGAAGTCATTTCATGTTGATCTGTTCAGTCTTCATACAATAGAGACATGATTTTCTGATGGTTTTGAGTTCCATCCCTTAAAAATTCATACTAATTCTGAAGAGGGGAAGTAGTGAGACAAGTTAAGGCTGCAGGATGTTGGGTTTTTCCCTTTTTTAAAATAACCTCAGATCTCCACAACAGACTCTGTCATAAATATAAAGGGAAGGGTAACAACCTTTATGTATGCAGTAATATAAAATCCCTCTTGGCCAAATATACAGAATCACTTACCTGTAAAGGGTTAATCAGTTCAATTAGCCTAGTTGGTACCTGACCAGAAGGACCAATGGGGAAAGAAGATACTTTCAAATCTGGGTTGGGGGGAGGGGGGGAGGAGTTTTTTTGTGCTCTCTTTGTGTGTGCCCTCTCAGACAGAGAGAGGGACCAGGGCAGGAAAAAACATCTCCTAAAAAGATCCTGAAATGATACATATAAAATTACAGAAATTGCAAGTAATAGCAAGAAAATGCATTAGATTATCTTTTGTTTTAGCATGTGAATTTTCCCTATGCTAAGAGGTAATTTTATTCCTGTTTTGTAACTGGGAAGCATAGTCAGAGGGGAATCCTCTGGGTTTTAACTCTTTTTATTTACCCTGTAAAGTTATCTTCCATCCTGATTTTGGAGGCATGATTCTTTCTTTTTTTTTTTTTTTTTTTTTTTAATAAAATTCTTCTTTTAAGAACCTGATTGATTTTCAGTTCTAAAAACCAGGGATTTGGTCTGTGCTCACTTTGTTAACCTATCGGTTGGTATATTATTCTCAAGCCCACCCCCCCCCCAGGAAAGGGGGTGAAAGCGCTTGGGGGGATATTTTGGGGGGAATAGGGCTCCAAGTGGCCCCTCCCTGAATGTTTGTTTAAATCACTTGGTGGTGGCAGCAACACCGTCCAAGGACAAGGAAAGGAATTTCTGCCTTGGGGAAGTTTTTAACCTAAACTGGTGAAATATAAGCTTAGGGGGTCTTTCATGCAGGTCCCCACATCTGTACCCCAGAGTTCAAAGTGGGGAGAGAACTCAGACTTAGTAGGCAGTTATCAACAGTGGAAATCTCCTCTGAAGAAATCATAACCACACTATTAAAGAGACGCTGTCAGCTTAAATTTGCACCCAATTTTAGGTTTTACCTAAAACAGGTCTCATTGGAATTATTCAAATCTATGGAAGAATCCAGTTTAGTTTGAACGGTTTGTAGTATTTCATTCCTAAATTTTAATCAGTCTAAATGGATTTATATAACTGGTTTGTAACACACTGTATGGAGTCTGTAGTTTTGCTTTAGAGAATTCATGCATAACATGGAAGAAATCCAGCCTCTGGTTCCAGAAACAAATCAAATGTGAATTCTTTTATGTTACCTTAAAGCATAATAATTACAATTCCGGCTGGCTAAGGTAGAGTAAAAGCTGTAGAAGCAAATTAGCCTGCATAACCGGCTCACATACTACTGTTCAATAAAGAGATTCCTTTCTTTTCAGATTTATTTTACTTGGAAAATTCTACCAAAGAGCAGACTCACTCGTGCTGGGGGATATGGGCTCTGGGCTGGGGGTGCAGGTTCCAGGTGGGGACAGATATGAGGGGTTCAGAGTGCAGGAGGGGGTGTGGGCTCCAGCTGTGGGTGTGGGCTCTGGGGTGGGCCTGGGGTGCAGGAGGGGGCTTAGGGCTGTGGCAGGGAGTTGGGGTGGTTGCAGAATGCGGGCTCCAGGAGGGAATTTGGGTGCAGGAGGAGACTCTAGACTGTGGCAGGAGATTGGGGGTGCAGGGTCCCAACAGTGCTTACCACAGCTCCCAGGAAGGGGCACTCAGGTCTCTGCAGTCCTAGACACATGGGCGGCCAGGGCTGCCCATGCACCTAGGGGCCGATGGGACCCAGCAGCCGCTTCCAGGAGCCACGTGGAGCCAGAGCAGGCAAGGAGCTTGCCTTAGCCCTGGGCCCCCACGTGCCACTGACCAGACTTTTAATGGCCTGGTTGGCAATGCCAACCAGTAAGGTTGCCAACTTTCTAACAGCACAAAACCAAACACCCTAGCTCCATCCCCTGCCCCTTCTCTGAGGCCCCAACCCCTGCACCATCCCTTCTCCGAGGCCGCACCCCCTGCTCACTCCATTCCCCCTCCCTCCATGGCTCATTCTACCCCACACTCACTCACTTTGCAGGGTCTTGAGGTGCAGTAGGGGGTGAGGGCTCCAGCTGGGAGTGCAGGCTCTGGGGTGGGGTGGGGGGTGAAGGGTTCAGGGTGCAGGAAGGGTTTCTAGGCTGGGGCAGGGGTGCAGGAGGGGGTGAGGGCTCCAGCTGGGAGTGCGAGCTCTGGGGTTGTGGATGAGGGGCTCAGAGTGCGGGAGGGGGCTCTAGGCTGCAGCAGGAGGTTGGGGTGGGGGAAGGGGTGAGGGCTCCAGCTGGGGGTGCAGGCTCTGGAGTGGGGTCAGGATGAGGAGTTTGGGGTATAGGAGGGGGCTCCAGGCTGGAGTTAAGTGGTGTGGAGTGCAGGGGGGAGCTCAGGCTCCAGCCACATGGTGCTTACCCCTCAGGCAGCTCTGGTTGGAGGCACTGCAGGGCTAAGGCAGGCTCCCTGCCTGCACTGGCTCCATGTGGCGCCCCGGAAGCAGCCGACATGTCCGGCTCCTAGGCATACAGAGCCAGGGAGGCTGCTTCTGCTCAGAGTGTCCAACTGCAAACACTATCCTTGTGTGAGACACCTAAGCCAGATCAGCTGTTTAGGTAGCCCGTGCAACCCCCATTTACTTTTTATTTGCCTGTTTCTGTATTATGGGAGGGGGGCCAAAATGTTCTGCTTAGGGCCCCCAATGGGCTAGCACTGGCTCCAAGTCCTGACTTGCAGTCTGCTGACCCAAATGCTGGAGCCCTTCCCCGGTGCTGTGATGTGCTCCAGCTGGCTGCAAGGAGACACTCAGAGTGGGGATCCCTGTGCATGGCCTGAGGGGAATCCAGTACCAGCCTCCAGTGCAGGAAGGCTCAGGCTGGTAAATCCCCAGCTGGGGGGGCACAAATGCTTCCCCCCGCATGCCCGGTGCTGTGCCTGGGCAGTGTTACTGCGGCCTGCGGTGCTGGGTCTCCCCAGGATCCTTGCTGCTGGGGTGGACCGGCTGCAGGGGGTGCTCTGCAGTGCTGGCCACCTCCCTCTGAGTTCCTCTTGGCTGCAGCGCCCGCCCTTCATTCTCCAGTGCCGGAAGTAGCGGCCTGGCTGGGAGTAGAAGCCAGAGACAGCAGTTGAACTGGAGGGTGAGTTTCTGCACAGGGGCCACCGGGCCTAAGCCGCCTAGCAGCCAGAGCTGCTGGCCGCTTGCAGAGCCAGCACAGACAGGGAACCTGCCTTAGCGCCACAGCACCGCCAACTGGACTTTTATCTGCCCAGTCGGTGGTGCTGACGACAGCTGCCAGGGTCCCTTTTCCATGGGGTGTTCCAGTCAAAAACCGGACACCTGGCAACCTTAGTTATAATTAGTAGCTGAAAGCTTGTGCTGTCACAGGGATGTAATTCGTAAAGTCATGTATGTAACAAAGCCAAAAATAGCTGAGCGGTGTTGATTGAACCTGGTGATATTCTGAACAAAAAGAGCTCTCAGCCATGCTTGTGACTGCTTCTATTGCTTCACACTGACTCAAGACATTCTAGGCTTCACAGTGAGACACAGAGTGACAGTCCTAAGAAGTCTATATAGACTAGAGGTGGACCCAAAGCAAAATTCCTGTGTAGATCAAAACTCCCCTGAATCCTCCAGGAATTTGTATGGATTCAGATCTGAACTTTGTGGCTAGCTGTGTCTAGCAGTGGGACAAATCATACCCTCAGGTTTGAATACCCCATTGGATGCCAAGAAAATTTGTCTCCAGGTGAGAACTTTGCAACTCACATGCATTTCTAGTTAGAACTTAAGCAGTTTGTTAACTTGCTTTACCTTTTGCAAGATTGTTGGCAAAGCAGAACACACGCCATATTTGAACATCACTTGCAGGTTGGCCAGGACTAATGGAATGCATGGCTAATAGCATCACTCACCCCTCTCCTCTTCATCTGCTTCATGAAGATTTGAGAATTTTAACTTACAGGCCTTTGTAACAATCCCGTCTGTGGCACCAAGATACACAGATGTCTCATATAGAAAGATATCCAATTCTCCAAAAGCTCCTCTGGCAATTGAGCTGATCTATCAGTCATATGGTCTCCTGTTTTCACTACATATTCTGTAACTGATATAAAGATTTGATAAGTTACCTGTTACAGAAACAACTTTGCTAGTACAAGTTAATGTCACCAAGAAGAGGAGAAAGGCTAAAAAATGATGGCCCTCCATTTAGAGGAGTAAAATTTAAAACATTTTGCCTTGGCCAACTCAGTAGACATTTCAGCCTTGTTAAACACATGCAAGTTAAATGATGTTTCTTTGTTCTAGGCTACCATTTACAGAGAAATGTTCACGGTAAAACTCTTACTAGTAAGCACTGAATTATTTTGATGTTTTACAGGTTTTAATTTCTCATTGAAACTACCAATCACAAGCTTTACTATAGACTATTATTAGAGGTGGATAAAGAATGCACCACAATGCAACCAGATAGTCAGTTATGGATGCATTAAAATGGTTATGACATTGCAGTGTGTGTTTATGCTGTACAGCATTTCCCAAAACAATAGGTAGAATAATGAGATTATAACAAAAGGCCAGCTTCTCATCTCAGTTACGTCAGTATTAGCCTGTCCCTGAGATCAGAATCTGAACTGTTACTTTTTACAAAGTGCATCAGTATAACTTGCCATTTCTAATTTACTGAACCTTTACATGCTATTTTTATATCAAATTGCATAACCAAATAATTGCTAGCTTGTTTAGTTTAGTCATCTCTTCACAGGCAACTGCAAGTTACAATATGACAGTCTCGCTATATACAAGATGCTTCATTTTGCAAGGCTTTCATGAAGCCTATAATACTCATTTGCATAAAGTACGGTATGAGTGAGGTGTTGTTGTGAGGTTTCCCTACACCTATGGAATTCCTCTAAATTTACTACTTATTGATTATTGTGCTCTTTTGCAATTAGTCATTTGTAAAACAAATTCATTGCGGCTAGTGAGAGGTAAGGGACTGACTGTAGAGGAGACTGGAGTCTCCTATTTATCCATAGAACAAGCAGAGTGGAGGCAGTAGCTCTGGGAGATTCTCTTTGGGGTGCGGGATGTTGCTAAACAGTTTACATTGGGTTTGCCTGATTTTGGTGGGCCTGTCCCTCATACTGCAAATTTGTTTGCTACTGAGTGTATGAATTAATCTCTCTGTGCCTCAGTCTTCCCAATGGTAAAATTACCCACTTCACAGGTGGGCTGCGGTCTTCATTAAAAAAATCACATGGTTTGAGCTCCTCCAATGGAAGATACTAGGATACTGCCAAGCATTAATTTTCTCCCAACCAGTTCACCCATTCCAGGTTCATTTAAAGTCAATATTTAGCCAGTTAGTCTAACTTATTTTTGACAAGCTCGTATCAACATCAAATCATACTTTTATAGCAATTTGCAAACATAACACTAAATATTTATTTCTGTTATTAAGAAATGTGCTCTCCACACTTCACCCCCAAATAATGGTTAGTTAAAAAGTGAGCAGCTCTCACCAATACTCTAGTCTCTTTCCCCTTCTTAGAATAATATACATAAATAACAAAAATCCTATATTTAGATAATTGCTGGAAAAACAACATTAAAGGAATCGAGAGAAATTAAGCTGTCACTCTGCCAGCAACCAGATCCACATTTGAAAGAGGAGGATATTTGCACCTGTGCGGAACTTAAATAACATCAGCAGAACTCTGTGCAAGGTGCAAAGGTCTACTAATGCTGATCTGATTGAAGGATTGGGACCTGAGGCCTGATCCAAAGTCCACGGAAGTCAACAGAAGGACTCCCATTGACTTCAGTGGGGTTTGGTAGGCCCACATCAGATGTTTAGCACACAATACATTTTTAAATGGTTACCAAAACAAAGGTAATTAATAATCAACACATGCCTATACCCTGAGTTAGTTATAAAGTTCTGTAGAACAAGTTGCAGCTTGCTCATCGGTTAAATAAAGAATGTAGCCTGAAAAGCAGCAGTAGTAATTTGCATGTTTCAGCCTCATCTATGCCCTGTGCAATCCCTCTGTCATCACTTTATGGGTGAAAGACTAGTTTTTGTTTCTCTGCTAATTTTGACACTGGTAAGGTTTGTATTAAAGCAGCCATTGCTAACAGGTATTTCTGGAAAGAGTTGGGTTAGATCTTTGCCACTGGCATTGGTTAATCAGTAATCTCTTTCAGTTACACAGGACTAGACAGACCTTGATAGTAGAAAGAAAAGGAGTACTTGTGGCACCTTAGAGACTAACCAATTTATTTGAGCATGAGCTTTCGTGAGCTACAGCTCACTTCATCAGATGTATACCGTGGAAACTGCAGCAGACTTTATATACACACAGAGAATATGAAACAATACCTCCTCCCACCCCACTGTCCTGCTGGTAATAGGTATTGTTTCATATTCTCTGTGTGTATATAAAGTCTGCTGCAGTTTCCACGGTATACATCTGATGAAGTGAGCTGTAGCTCACGAAAGCTCATGCTCAAATAAATTGGTTAGTCTCTAAGGTGCCACAAGTCCTCCTTTTCTTTTTGCGAATACAGACTAACACGGCTGTTCCTCTGAAACTTGATAGTGGAGGAAGTTTGCTTCTTTTTGGAGTAAAAGGTCTAGAAATGGGATGGGATCCATAAAAATCTGACTACAAATACGAGCTGCATCTTGACATACATATCATGCCAACTTGCCATGACCAAAACATGCTTACAGTATGCAACCAGCAACAGATGAGGCTAGAAAAGTCAGCTGAAGAGATTTGAGAGAGAGAGTTGTGAAAGGTGCAGATTATCCACTCTTCCTCCTATGAGCAGCCTTATCTGACTACAGAAACCAGGGCAACGTAAGTTGTTTTGCCAGTACAGCATACATCGCACTTTGGCTTGCCTTGACTCCTCCCACATCTCAGTTCACACTTACCTCTTCTGAGTTTGCAGACCTATCTGTGTTGAAAGTTGGAATGGCAGGCTCCCCAGGGGGATGGGCACACACAGGATTTTGAGGAAGGTTGTGTTGCAATCTGCCTCACTTTGTAAAATGCAAGCCATGAGAGCACATATCCTTAAGTGACAGCTTTTCGGAGTCTTAGCAAAACTTCTAGTTGCAATTGCACATTGCCATGTGGATAGAGCATAGAGATTATATATCAAAACACCAAAAGGGTTTTTAAGATGGTTCAAACTGTCCTTGCTTCTTTTAATTCTGGAATGTCTGAACTCACTGCATACAGTATGCTGTAGGATAAGGAAAATGCAAACTGGTCATGAGCGACACTGCCATGTCTATTTATGAATGAACATGTATGTGATAGTCCAGCAATTTAAAAGGAAAAATCTGAAATTATGTTTATACTATTTCTTATAGTAAAGCATTTACAAACAGAACTTTATAATTCCTAGGAGTTTTATTTCTTCAGGGTTATGTCACAGAATATGCCAAAAAAACACAACATTTGCAATAAATGTAAATTACAGGACACCTCCTATTTTCATGCTTGACAGTCATATGAACAGACACAAAACTTTTGGACAGGGTATGTGCATTAAAGACGTGCTAGAAATGGTCATACCTCAAATATCACAGTTATGTGTCATTGACATGACTGATGTATTAAAACTTCGTAAGACTTATCAAAGCTCTGTTACTATTGTTAACAGTGGCTAAAAAAAGAATCCTGATGGCCTGGATGAATCTAGCAAGACCACAAGGGACACGATGGCTCAATCTGATCAGAGTAAATCTCATAACACAAAGTCTTAGCAAGAGCACGAACAAAAATCAGGCCATTTTGAAATGAAATGAGGAAACAAAAACAAAATAAATGATTGCAAAATAAACAGACTTACTTGACAATACACAGCAGTAGTGCCACCTTGACTTTCTCCTCACCGATAAAACAGGCATATTCTTGTCTTTTTTTTTTTTTTTTTTTTTAAATAGAAAGCTTGGCAAACAAGACTCTCTGTTCATGGAAGGGAAAGAGAATAGGAAAGGTTTTTAAACCAAATCTTTCCATCTATTCATACTCCAAATTCTCAAGTGTAACCCTTCTGCCAGTCAGTCAGAGTTGGCAGCAACAAGGGCTGGGTTCAGTATCTAGGGGTTCCTTTTCAATAACACAATGCAAAACCGACTCAAGCCCCCACCCAGTGACTTGGGACAATTACATACCACCACCTCTGGGCGCCTCTAAGAGGCGATACTTCCCTTCTCACAAGCACAGAGTCTGAGTGTAGCAAAAGCCTTTTAATAAAGGAGGGAAACAATGCAGCATTATGTTGGGGAAACACCACAAACAGGATTCATAAAACCAACAATGAGCAACAGAAGACCCACCCCCAAGTAGATTGGGCCATGTCCTTTTCCCTTTGGTTCTTGAGTCCAGCAACCCAAAAAAGTCACCCCACCCACAGTTTCTGCCCTTGGTCAGTGCAGCCCCAGAGTTCAGAAGTCCATCTGCAGAGTTTACCTCCCAGCCTGGGTGGAAGTGGGGGAGGTTTGGGTGGCACCTCACAGGCTCTGCTGCTCAGGTCAACAGCCAATTGCCATGCTTCTCCCTGGGGTTCTGCTACAGTCTTCACCGTCAGCCACCCCTCTCCACTAGCCATTCTGGCTAGCCGCTCACCAATATGTTTTCATCACCCCAACAGAGCTCTCAGTGATTTCAGCTCTGCAGCATGTAACAAGACTCCGAATGGAGTCAAAATTAGCTCTGTCATTCTACAGTGGCGAGAGGAGTCAAAGCAGGGTCAATACCTACACAACCAAGTACAGATACCTGTCCCCAACCTCTCTCAATTCATTGGAGTTTGGAACCCATGTCCCTTGCCTAGCGAGTGCCGTGTACTTGAGGGTGAGTCCCTCAGTCATAAAATGCCAAGAACAGTTGTTCTTGATTCACATAACCAGGATAACACCACTTTATTACTCCTGCCCCAATAACAAAGAGACTGGGGATCCCACAACAGCCAAAGTGACCACTTGGGCAAGCAGTTCCATTGTGCTAGGCAGGGTGGGTGTGCCCATGCAAATGAGATCAGCCCCTGAAGTCCTCTTCCACAGCTCACCATCAGATGTCAGGGGAGCGCTCATTCTGACTCTGCTTACACAAGATTTTGGCTAATAGCAGTAAAAGATGTTAAATCAGAGTGACACAAAATTCAGGCTAATGATGACTACAGAAAACACCATACAAAATGAATTGCCTAGACTTAAGGGATAGTGGTGCATATTAATGCTTTAATCCAGTTGCTGGTGATAAAACATGCTCTGGACTGTCCAAGAATCTTTTCAGGAAAGGTACGGAGTAAAATTAACAATATCACTGGACTACACTTGCCTAGCACACTAAAACTATGGGCATGATCCTGATCTTATTAAAAAAAAATCAATGGGAGTTTTGCCATTGTCTTCAGTGGGGCTAATATTCTACTCCATGTGATGTTTTTGAATTGCAGGAGCTGTCAAAATAGAAATGTTGCCCAAGTTAATATTTTATACCATGGTTCTGAGTTTATCACACATACACTGGGAAATTGTTCCAATAGTTAATTGCCCACACAGTTAAAAATTTACACTTTTGAATCCTGCTAAGACCTTGGCTTCTAATATTCGGGCAAACACATGCATACCAATAGCAACGTCTCTTGGAAAATATTTTCTGCTCTGTGTAGGCAAATGATCAGTACAAGGCAGAGATCACTGAAACCCAATATCCTTGATATTTTTAGAAGGGTTTGGCACCACTGGAATTTAGTGATGATTAAAATACCTGAGTGGCCTAAGAATCAGATTTGGAAATAACTAGGCTCCCTGAATTCACAGCTGACTCAGCTTTTCTTCCTTCAAGGACAGATAATTGGCATACACACTGATTTTTAGGTGTAGATATTTTGGATGAAATCTTAAAAGCAGAGGTCCCAATTCTGGGCTACAGCCCAGAGCCAGAAACTCTCCCCTCATTAGGCAATCCCCCCAACGAAAGGGGGATTCCCGAGAGACAAAGAGATAGCAAAACACCATTACCAGTGTAGGGCTGTGACCAGGGGCAGAACAACAACATCGGTGAATGGCTAGAGTGCAGGCAACTCTCTTGGGCACTGCAGCAGCCAGGGTGTAAATGAGAGCAGTCCCTGATACCAGCCAGGTTTAAAATGCAATTAGTTGACAATACTGAATACTATTTGACCCAGTCTACACTGAGTGGTTGGTTATGGTCAGTGTCATGTCAGCTAACTCAACTCTTCGCAATCACATTCAAACAATATACAGTGTTCTACTGAAAACAAGCCCACAAAGATTAAGTACCCCAAGGCAACACAGATGAGTTAGTAGCACAGCAGGGATCAGAACACAGTTGATGCTAGCACAATGGTCGGTCTACCAGGGGTTCTCAAACATTTTCATATTGTGTGGACAACTTAATAGAGAGCCTGTCTCAGAGACCATGTCACCTCCCATTCACAAAAGAGCCCTGTGGCGACTTCAGCAATTGTTTATACTGAACAATAGTAATACTAGGAAATTAATAGTCATTTAGCTGTCTTTAATGCAATAAATATTTGTCCTTTTACAAAGAAAGGAATCACACTTTTGTTCTTCATTTCAACTCCTCTTCTCATCAGTTCTTTTGCTCTCTCTCCCTCTCCTCCCCTTATTCTTTTGCTGTCTGGTCCCTTTTTCCTCCTCTACCCTTGGACATACTACTTGATTCCCTCTTCCCCTGGGGATACTGCCCCTGGACAGCAGCCTCATTCTCTTCCCTCAAGGTCATGCCTCTCCTCTTGTAAAGCAGTAACCCCTGGCAGAGGCAGATAAATTGGCTTCTCCTCATTTCCAGCTGCTTTACAAGCCACCAGGCTCTTCTTTGAATTGAAGAAACTGGAGCACCATGTGTCCAGCCTTCTTTGAGCAGACCAACCAATAAGTGCTCCATGGGCTACAGACCACAGTTGCGGAACTGCTGAGCTTGCATATAGAGGTGGAACCCTACTGCCAATCTTTGAAGGTATCTTCAAATGAATGCACAGAGTTACTAAAAGCTAGCATTAGTGCAATACAAAGACAGACAAAAAGTGTCAACTGGGGGTGCCAGTAAAATCCTATAGCACCCATTGTTCTAGTTTTCACACTTTATGGCACCAAAATCTTTGTTTCCTTGTCCCATGATTTTGTGTGATAAGGCATTGGATTAGGATTCAAGAGATCTAGGTTTGCTCCCAGCTCTGCCACAAAATGCCTGAGTGACCTTGGGCAAGTGACTTAATTTTGCTGTGCCTCAGGTCTCTATCCACCTGTGCTATTTCACAGGGGGATGTGCATAATCGAATAATGCTCAGATAAGACAGAGACAGAAAACACAAACATCAGTTTCTATTTTATTGAAAGGTTTAGACATTGTTCTCTCTGCAATATTACTGTTCAGAAAAACTTCAAATTAAATCTGACCTTTTCATTCTATTAAACCTGTTTGTCCCCATCCTTAGACCTCTTCCTCCTACTCAAAAGTTGGCTGGAGAAGTGTATTGTGATCCTTCCTATCCATGCTTAATGTTAATTGAATGTTTGTGAAAATCCTGCAGGCTTCCCACGTCAAAGGTCATGCAAATTAATAAAGTCATGTTTTATGTTGTCATCATGCATTATAAGGGTGAACAGTATGAACTATTAACTGAAAAGAGTTCTCAGACTGAAAACTTTCTGCACAAAGATCTAGTATTAACGGATATGTAAGTTGAGCTCAATCTGCCAGCGACTTCATTATGTCGGAAACAGGAGCCGAAACGCATGGGGTCAAATTTTCAATGAATACCTCAATCTGGCTTAGTTTCACGTATACAATCGTCTGCATGCATTCAGTTCTGTGCACAGTCATATTCCTATGCAAGTGCAAGGGCAGGCCAACAGAACTTTAACACAAAATTGGAGATCACATTTGAACATCTGCCCCCCTCCCCCTGTGTTTTTTGGGGCTGGCCTGGTGCTGGAGAAGTCTGACTGCTGACACCTAAGGTGTAAATATGACGCTGTGGTCATTATTCACTTAAAACCATGTTCAAAAACATTTACCATCTTAGCAATTCTAACAATATAGATTAAAAACCCAGACACTTCTGCAATAAAAGTATACGCAAAAAGAAAAGGAGTACTTGTGGCACCTTAGAGACTAACCAATTTATTTGAGCATAAGCTTTCGTGAGCTACAGCTCACTTCATCGGATGCATACTGTGGAAAAAGTGAAGAAGATCTTTTTATATACACACGAAGCATGAAAAAATACCTCCTCCCACCCCACTCTCCTGCTGCTAATAGCTTATCTAAAGTGATCACTCCTTACAATGTGTATGATAATCAAGTTGGGCCATTTCCAGCACAAATCCAGGTTTTCTCACCCTCTGGCCCACTACACACAAACTCACTCTCCTGCTGGTAACAGCCCATCCAAAGTGACCACTCTCTTTACAGTACGTATGATAATCAAGGTGGGCCATTTCCAGCACAAATCCAGGTTTTCTCACCCCCCCACCCCCGCCAAACTCACTCTCCTGCTGGTAATAGCTCATCCAAACTGACCACTCTCCTTACAATGTGATCATACACATTGTAAGGAGAGTGGTCAGTTTGGATGAGCTATTACCAGCAGGAGAGTGAGTTTGGGGGGGGGGGGGGGGAGTGAGAAAACCTGGATTTGTGCTGGAAATGGCCCACCTTGATTATCATGCACATTGTAAGGAGAGTGGTCAGTTTGGATGAGCTATTACCAGCAGGAGAATGAGTTTGTGTGTGTGGTTTTTGGAGGGGGGTGAGAGAACCTGGATTTGTGCAGGAAATGGCCCACCTTGATTATCATGCACATTGTGAAGAGAGTTGTCACTTTGGATGGGCTATTACCAGCAGGAGAGTGAGTTTGTGTGTAGGGGGGTGGAGGGTGAGAAAACCTGGATTTGTGCTGGAAATGGCCCAACTTGATGATCACTTTAGATAAGCTATTACCAGCAGGAGAGTGGGGTGGGAGGAGGTATTGTTTCATGGTCTCTGTGTATATAATGTCTTCTGCAGTTTCCACGGTATGCATCCGATGAAGTGAGCTGTAGCTCATGAAAGCTTATGCTCAAATAAATTGGTTAGTCTCTAAGGTGCCACAAGTACTCCTTTTCTTTTTGCGTATACAGACTAACACGGCTGTTACTCTCAAACCAATAAAAGTATGTATACATTTGTTCATTCTTCAAATCAAGATGATACTGATGAAGGGCATTCTGCCTCTCATACTCTGTCTCCTTACAAGGTCTCTCGCCATAGTTTGGTTTTCAGCAAAATGCTCTTGGTAAACCAGAGGATGCAGGCTGAGTCCTAGGCCTGACCTTTGTTCTCTCCTTGTTGAGAATATGTTTTCCATTCGCTGGAACAAGGAAATCTGAATCACTAACTCTGGTTTCTATTCCTGGCTATCACTGACCCAGAGATGAACTTGGCCAGCAAGTATTTACTGCAGGTACTGGGACGTTGGCCATCAAATTGTCCTGAGTCAAGTCACTGCCTAGCGTTGGGATTTCATTAGTTGATAACTAATATTAACACTGGGATAACATACTCAAATGGAATTTTCATGCCGAGTCACCAGCAACCTACTTTGAGTCCTCTTCCCCTTCCCCACAACCCTTCCAAGTCATGGCTGCAGCCCAATCCACTTTAAGCATTGACATCAGGCAAGTATCTTAACCTGTCTGGTTGGTTCCTCAGTTTCCCCAGACATCCCTACATCAGATCAGTACTTGCCTGCTGGATAAGGTGGGTCCTTAAAAGTTTCTCAGGTCATTGGGTGAAAGATGCAATAGAAGTGCAAAATTTGTATTGATCCAATTTTCTTTAACTAATGAGGCAGCCACCCTATAATAGCCTTCTGTACCCCATATATTAAAATAATCACACTATTATTCTCAATTGGGTAAGATTCTACATTCTTTGCAATGCAGTAAGGATTGCGAACACAGTATCATAGTTCAACATATCCGATTCTTGTGTCCTGCATGCCTGGTTTGTAACTGAAGTGGCTTGGAAGCTTTAATATTTCATAGTGGTATAAATGAGGCATTCCTGGTCCCCTACTGTTAGGATATAGATATTCAGGCCTGTCGGTAAAGGCCTGTACTCGAAGAATTTAGGTGTATTCTTACCACTTGGCTAGTTATAGAGGTATAAAAGAAAGAATCAAAATCACTGTCTGCCGGTGTAAGGTCCTTCTCTTACTGTCACAGTCTGAGGCCCTATTCTTAGGCTAAGGCCTTTGGATAAGCAGCAGAGGCAGCCATAAGCTGGGAAGTGACGGGTCACATCCTCACATTCCAAACTAGTCACATTGAAATAAGGTGCTATTGGGCTGTTAGGAATACAATCCTGTCCTGATAGTGCCTATCACCTCCAGAGAAAGGGAAGTGCCTAGAAAATGTAAAAGGAAACTTAGTTTGATAGCATCCTGTCTGGCAAGAACTCACTTATCAATAGCTGGGATGTGAAATCCTCACTTCTGTATTGTTTTGTCATTATAGTTCCCACTTTGCTATTGTTTGTCTGTATAATCTCTGTCTGGTTCTGCGATTGTTCCTGTCTGCTGTACAATTAATTTTGCTGGGTGTAAACTAATTAAGGTGGTGGGATATAATTGGTTACATAATCATGTTACAATATGTTAGGATTGGTTAGTTAAATTTCAGGAAAATGATTGGTTAAGGTATAGCAAAGCAGAACTCAAGTTTTGCTATATAGTCTGCAGTCAATCAGGAAGTGGGAGGGTGTGTGGGTGGGGGAATTGGGAACAGGGAATGGGGGTGGGGGAATTGGAATCATGTTTGGCTAAGGGCAGGAATGGGAACAAGGGCACAGGTGTAAGGCTCTGTGGTGTCAGAGCTGGGAAGGGGGACACTAAGAAAGGAAACTGGAATCATGCTTGCTGGAAGTTCACCCCAATAAACATCGAATTGTTTGCACCTTTGGACTTCGGGTATTGTTGCTCTCTGTTCATGCGAGAAGGACCAGGGAAGTAAGTGGGTGAAGGAATAAGTCCCCTAACACCTACATTTAGCATAAATTATGTACATGTTTTTGAATAATGTTACAGTGAAACAGAAGTCAAGCTTGGAAATCTATCACAGAGTTTGCCATCAAGGTGCTGACACAAGGCAGGCACACAATTTATATCATTTATTCTCCACACAGGGAAAATTTAACTTTTACTTGGACATTTGATTCCTGTCAAGTTCCTCTGCCTCAGTCTAAGCTATTGGACAGTCTGCTAGCCCTGGCTAATGTATCTTTCAGCTCCTTCTCTCCACCTTTAAGGCCTACAATACACTAGGATAATTTCCTATTGCCCAAAGCAGGGATATGTAATGGGTGCAATTGAACCAGTGCTCAACTTGGTTAAACGGCCAAGACAAACTATGTTCTGCATGGTTTCAGAAAAACATGATGAACACTTTGAGGGTAAAGTGGAAGCAAGCCTCTTAAAGGCCAAAGAAATCTAGGTCACCCTTTGTTCCCTCTAGTCTCAATACCTGTTAGATCATATTTATTAGACAGATCATTTTCCTAGCCATAATTACTTCTGCTGTGGAGTCAACCGGAATTCTTTCCAAAAGGTGGAGACTGAGTTCCTCCTTAATGAGCCAATCATCACAACATATTTCTAATGCTCCCACTGTAGTGTCTGTTCTCCTCAGCCCAGCTAACATATTCCCCCTAATGCATATCTCACACAATGCTCTTCACTATAGGCTTCTTGGGCAAAAGGTCCAACAGCTCTTAACTGGAGTGGACAGAATAACATCTCCACCCAGCTTTTTTAATTTGACTCCAATAACAGTTTCTGCTCTTCTCAAAAGGCCATGGCTAAGTGGCTGTCTGGTTGTATCCATGTGTGATGGGGTGTCCACCTGACAGGACTGGAAGGGGTTAAGGTGGCCAGGCTGGCCAATTAATTCCCTAGGCCGCACCTGGGATAGCCAGGGAGCTAGGAACTGATTGATTAGGAACAGGCTCACCAAGGCTGGATCTGGCAGAGCCTGTATAAAGCCAGGTAACAAGCTGCAGATAGGGGTTGCTGCTGGGACAGGACAGTCACTCCATTTGAAGAGGGAGTGGGTTGGCAGCTGGTACTTCTGGAGAAGGGGGGAGACTGGGAAGAGTAGGAAGCAGTCCAGGGAAGGAGCAATGCGGGCTGAGAGGGTAGAGCCCAGAACTGTTGAGCAGAGGGCCCCTGGACTGAAACCCAGAGTAGAGGGCAGGCCCAGGTTCCTCTATTGGCCACTGATGACGTGGCACCATCAGGGCAGCACAGGAGAAGGCTGCCTGGGACTGTTTGTACAGAAGGACTTTGAGTAACCCCGAAAGGGGAAAAGATGGATGATGACCCAGCCAGAGGGCCAAGTCACGAAGAGGAGGTTGCGGTTCCTGGAGAGAGGCAGGTCTGCAGGGTGAGAGGAAGATGGGAGAGGCGCCACCTGAAGATGACACCCCAACTGGCAGAGCTAATCCCCAGGATGGCTATCAGGAGGCACTACTACAGCCAATCATAATCACAGTTGAAACCCAGAAAGTCTGTCATGCCAAGACAGTATTCACCGCATTGCCAACTGCTGTGATTTTGTCACAAATCTTACAATATTTGGTCTTTTACTTAAAGCTACGGCTCCTGGATTCAAATGATTTTCATTTAAAAAAGTTTCTCGCCCTCACGTTTGGAAAGGTAGGTTGGAAATGTGAAGACTCGAAGGCCAGAAAGAAAATATATTTGTAAGAAGTTATTTAAAAATCTCACGTTTAAGACCATCTAATGCTATCTGAATGGATAGGGGGTTGGCAATATTGGGATTTCCTCCTAGGCCTGATTTCAATAAGCCCCTAAAAACCACAGGAAGCAGTGATGGAAACAGCAGGAATTGGCCTTGAATCTCACAAGCTTTGGATCACAGCAGTAGCTATTTAAAGGATCTGTGCTCAGCCTTGTTGGTGGGAAGAGAGGAGGGGTTAGGTGAGAGCTCACATGAATTGGGGAAGGGATATTCTACTGTAGCTATGAAGTAGCTTAAGGACTAAAAATCCTGACCAGCTGCTCAGCATTACCATCAGTGGGTGTCAGCTGTAAATAAGGAAAA